TCATCCCTCACATGACGGGAGGATTAAAATGGCAGTGGAGGAGTGGATGTTCAGCTCAGGGGTAGATCAGTGACACTGTCACAGCTATTTTAGGACCTGAAATATTTATATGAGCCTATTCCAAACCCTAATAATACATAAATAATGAACTCAGAACTGTACACAAAGGGAAACAAAAAACCACTCTGATGGTGTCCAGGTCCCTCATCAACTCCCCAGCAGTCAAGGAGGTCAAGGCTGGTCTCAAACTCCTGGGCTCAAGTGATCTGCCCACCTTGGTTTCCCAAAGCTCTGGGATTACGGGCATAAGCGACCACACACGGCCTAGTAAGTTCTTTCCATATGTTTGGAATGAATGTGTTTCCAAGGATAAAAGCTTACAATGACATCTTTCTTACCTGTAAGATACCCGAAGAGCAGAGAGAGGGTCCCCAGGCTGGCTAAGCATCCGGAACACTGGGGGAGCTTTAAAAACACAGATACAAATGATTGTGCCTCTCCCCTTACTTACTGAGTCACAATCCCAGGGATAGAAGCACCCAGAGATCTGTCTTTTCAGAACTTCTCCGGCTCTCCAGGTGGTGCTGACAATCAGGCAGATTGAGAGCCAGTGCTGCAGGCAGCCTGTCCCAGACATCGGGAGCAGGAGAGTCACGCAGGGCTAAGTCAGACTGAAGGTTCTGGTGCACCAGAGGTGGGGAGGGGCTTGAGAGCTGGCCTTTCCAACAAGCTTCCCAGAGAGGCTGGTTTGCTGATCCTCAGACCAGGCTTTGAGGGTGCGCAGCACTCTTCCTCTACGTGTGTGTCCACACACCTGGCACCTTTGTTGTTGCATTGCCCCAGGTATAAAGTGCAGGGTGCCCCCTCTATGCCTTCAGCCCCGCTCTCTCCCCTGCTGACCCCCAAATCGCTGGGGTTTGGACTTGCCTTTATAAAGGGAGCTCTCAGCTCAGGCATGAAGTGCAGGGTGCCCCCTCTATGCCTTCAGCCCTGCTCTCTCCCCTGCTGACCCCCAAAACGCTGGGGTTTGGACTTGCCTTTATAAAGGGAGCTCTCAGCTCAGGGGTGGGACCTCCCTGCTGGCCCCCTCTTCCCAAGGCCCAGCATCAGCAGGAGCTGCTCCAGCAATTCATCCTGAGAGGTCTATGTGGTGTGAAAGGCTCAGGGGGACTGTTCTGTTTATTGTCAAGGGCCAGGAAACAAAGCCTGGGAACAAAGTGCTCAACCGAGTGGTGTTGATTGACAAGATAGGGCGGGGTGCCGAGGAGACTTCCACACACAGCAGGACTGAGTGAGCACCAATTCTTCCTTCTAACACTGACACCAAGGAGAGACCGCAGTCCCTTCCCATAAAGGCCATGAACAAAAGGAAGAATCGCTTGGTGTGCCAGCTCCTCTGGGGCAGGAGAACAAGAGGTGACTTGAAGCAGGGTCGGGAGCCCCATCCCAAGCACAGTGGATGCTGAAGGGGGTCCCAGGCTCCCCAGGTCCTGGGCTTCTCTTGATTCTCAATGTTAAGCTTGTTGATTGAATATAGTTGGTTAATGTGGACCCCAAGGCAAGGAAAAGACACAGGCCAAGAACCGGGGGCTTCAGTCAGCTCTGAAAAGTCAGGAAGAGCTTTTTTTTTTTTTTTTTTTTTTTTTTTTTTTTGAGATGGAGTCTCACTGTGTTGCCCAGGCTGGAGTGCAGTGGTGTGATCTCCACTCACTGCAAGCTCCCCCTCCTGGGTTCACGCCATTCTCCTGCCTCAACCTCCCGAGTAGCTGGGACTACAGGCACCTGCTACCACACTCGGCTAATTTTTTGTATTTTTAGTAGAGACGGTGTTTCACCGTGTTAGCCAGGAAGGTCTCGATCTCCTGACCTTGTGATCTGCCCACCTCGGCCTCCCAAAGTGCTGGGATTACAGGTGTGAGCCACTGCGCCCCGCGAGGAAGAGCATTTCTAACATCCAAATGCAAACGTCTGCCACCCCGGGCTGCTCCCCTCTGGAAACTGCACTGCAGGGTACAACAGGTCCCAGGTTTGCCTTTCCTAATTCCCTGCACCACCCAGCTCCCGCCTCCCTCACTGTGCGGGATGAGAGGTCCACACACCCTTTCCTTCTCACCTTTGAAATGGCAGTGGTGGCTGCAACCTGGGAGCTGAGGGTGTCCTGAGCTGGTGAGACCCCCACCAGGGGCCCTGGGTGCCTGCCGGCCACAGGCTGAGCCATCCAGTCTGTGCACAGCCAAGCCTCAGCTACCAGGATTTCCTTCCTGTGGAACTGGGCCTTCCATCCAGAGAGGCTTGCAGCAAAGAGCAGAAATGGGCTTTCTCAGTCAGGAGTGGTGGCTCACGCCCGTAATCCCAGCACTTTGGGAGGCTGAGGCAGGTAGATCACGAGGTCAGGAGATCCAGACCATATTGGCTAACACGGTGAAACCACGTCTCTATAAAAATACAAAAACTTAGCCAGGTGTGCTGGTGGGAGAATGTAGTCCCAGCTACTCGGGAGGCTGAGGCAGGAGAATGGTGTGAACCCGGGAGGTGGAGCTTGCAGTGAGCCGAGATAGCGCCACTGCACTCCAGCCTGGGTGACGAGTGAGACCCTGTCTCAAAAAAAAAAAAAAAAAAAGAAGTGGGCTTGCTCTCTGCTGGTGTAGGAAAGCCATGGCAGGAAGGCGGTACCAACAACACACAACTGCCTGTCCCATATGGGGTCCCAGACCTCCTGCCTCCCGGCTTTCCTGCCCCTTTCCTTTGTAAGTGTGCTCTTTAATTAAGTGTCCTCTTTATAATTGTGTCCAAATGTTCACACTGTCTCAAGTGATGCTGGAGCCACAGCCTGGGGCCACTGCAGGTCCCTCCTCTGGAGCAAAGGGTCTTCGTCACAGTGTTTCTCTAAAAGCATATCCATCCTGAGTGACACTTATTTTAGAAACAGATACAACTGGTGAAGAAAGGGTTGAGCATTAGAAAATGTCTCTGGATTTCAAAGAAGTTGGCCACTATCTATGGGAAATTGGGGGTAAGTAACTGCTCTTTAAGTAAATGAGGACAGGCCAGGCATGGTGGTTCACGCCTGTAATTTCAACACTTTGGGAGGCTGATGCGGGTGGATCACTTGAGGTCAAGAGTATGAGACCAGCCTGGCCAACATGGCAAAACCCCATCTCTACTAAAAATACAAAAATTAGCTGGGCATGGTGGCGTGCACCTGTAATCCCAGCTATTCAGGAGGCTGAGGCAGGAGAGTTGCTTTAACCCAGGAGACAGAGGTTGCAGTGAGCCGAGATTGCACCACTGCACTCCAGCCTGGGTGACAGAGCAAGACTCCATCTCAAAAAAAAGTAAATGAGAACAAAATCCCAAAGGCTAGAGCCACCGCCCAGCGCATGCTCAGGATCAAAATGCTCCTGTGGGTCCCTTCCCACCTGAATGCTCTATTTTAAAATGAAGGTCCAGGAAAAGGGGAGAGCATGTCATTACTAAGGTTCAGAGTTAAATAGAGACACTCTTCCACCAATGACAGCCATGATGGGCCACCTGAGCTTTCTTTGGTTTTCCCTGCCATTTGCATGGTACTCGACTGCACTTGAATGAGGAGTCCTGAGGGTGCTCACAGCATGGTCTATGGACCAGCAGTACTGGGGTTACCTGAAGCTTGTGTGAAACGCAGCATCCCAGGATGCTGTGATGCCAGGAGAGGGTGAAAGAAGAGACAAGAGCAGCTGCCTCAGCTAAAAAGAAAGCCAGAGGAGAGGGTGGGTATTTAGGGAGCAGGGATTTTTAATTTCAAGTGAATTCTGTAATTAAGAAAAAGGGGCGGTGGTGGTGGGGCTTGGGGCTGGGTGCTCTGGCACTGTCCCTAACAGCAATCACAGTGCTGGCTTTGCTCCTGTGCTACTGTCCCTCTTCCCTCTCAGCAATAGGAAGAACACGTGTGCTTTTGATGCATGGGATGCATTAGGCCTGGGATGCAGCATTTCACACAAGCTTCAGGTAACCCTAGTGCTGCCGGTCTGTGGACCACGCTGTGACTAGCAAGGTCACAACTGAGAGACCCTATTACAATTGGAATACTTTGGGCCTCCCTTTTTGAGAACGCAAAACAGCTGCTGGGTGTGTTGAATATTCACCCCACCACAAAGAAGGTCAGCACCTTTCTCCACACAATGGTATAAGGTTTTGTTTTCATATAAAACCTCAACAGATGAATGAGGCCACTATCAATGATTTCAGAAAGAAAGGCTAAAATACAAACTATTTTTTATGACAGAGTCTTCCTCTGTCACCCAGGCTGGAGTGCAGTGGCTCGATCTCCACTCACTGCAACTTCTGACTCCTGGGTTCAAGCAATCTGCTTGCCTCAGCCTCTGGATTAGCTGGGACTACACGTGCACACCACGCCTGGCTAATTTGTGTACTTTCAGTAGAGACAGGGTTTCACCATGTTGGCCGGGCTGGTCTTGAACTCCTGACCTGAAGTGATCCACCTGCCTTTGCCTCCCAAAGTGCTGGGATTACAGATATGAGCCACGATACCCGGCCCACAAATACCAAATATTCTTTAAACAAAAAATTATTATGTTGGAGGCACAGTGGCTCATGCTGTAATTTCAATACCTTGGGAGGCCAAGGCAGGCAAATTGCTTGAGCCCTGGAGTTGGAGAACAGCCTGGGCAACATGGCGAAACCCTGCCTCTACAAAAAGGTTTTAAAAAATTAGCCAGGCATAGTGGCATTCATCTATAGTCCCAGCTACTCAGGAAGCTGAGGTGGGAGGATTGCTTGAGCCTGGGAGGATGAGGTTGCAGTGAGCTGTGATGGCACCACTGCACTCCAGCCTGGGTGACAGAGTGAGACCCTGTCTCAAAAAAAAAAAAACAAACAAATATATATATATATACACACACACACACACACACACACATATACACACACACACACACATATATACACACACATATATATACACACACACACACACTCCTTGGGAGAGATGTCCCTCGTAATTAAACTAGGTTAACACAGATGATTTTATTTAACAGCTGAAGTGGTTCTGTTACCTGGGAGCTTGTTTTATATTTAGTTGATCTTGAAGGATCCATCATGAACCCCCCAGAAGTGCCCACAGTGACGTGTTCCATGAGTGCTTGATGGAAAACCATACATTTCTAAGGCTCTGGTGGCAGGCAGCAGTTATGTGATGGCATGAGGAAAATCCATTTAGTAGAGTTGTCCAAAAGTGCAATGACCTGGCTCGGTAAGCTGTAAATTATCTGTCCCTGTGAGGGGTAGAAAGTGAGGATGGAGAAGGAAGGAATATGCCAGACAGGGGTTGAACCAGACGGGCTTCTTCCAGCTGTCAGCTTCATGACTACAGGTACTGTCCACATCTCCAGGATCCACCTAGGATGCCTCTGATAATGTAATCACTTACCTCCATTTTTCTTGGCCAGTTTATTCCAACAAGTGAGCTATGGTGCAGGCATTGGGCCACGCAGTATCTGTTTGACTTTCAGGGGCTTAGGTCAGCTTGGCGGAGTTCTCTGGGTCCCTCTAGAGAATCATCCAACCCAGCGATGGCCTGCAGGGTCCTGCCCCACCCCTAAAGCACTTACATTCACACAAAATCCTGGAGGTGAATGTTCTCAGCAGGCTTATTCCTCATAGCCAAAAGCCAGAAACAAATCCAGATGTTCTTCGAGGAGCAAATGGCAAAACACTTGGGGTCATTGTGGAAATGGAGGGAAGCCTTTGGAGAGATGTATAGGAAGAATGAACAGGACTCGGTAAAGGATTGTTTATGACGTGGGGGGATACAGGCTGAAGAAACTCTTCTAGAGTCTGGAATGGGGTCCCTAGGTGAGCTGTCACACCATTTATTTAGACAGTAAGTCTGGGTCACAGCCAAGTCAAGGAAAATGACCTAGACTATAGAGCGGGATCAGTTTTAATATGTAATGTCAAAGAGGCATTTCAGTCTGGAAATCAGCTAGGCAGCTGTACATACAATTCTGAGTGGAGATAAAATCTGGAGGTTGTAAGAATAGAGTTAATAATTAATGCATTAAAAATCAATTTGGTCACCCAGAGGGCTTGGGGTTCTTTTTTTCCGGCATACCAATAAAAGAATAACAGAGTTCGGGGTGAGTTATGACGCACTTCAGATTTTAAATCCCAAGCAGGGGTTGTGAGCGCACTGGTAAAAATTGGGGAGGAGCATTCAGAAAGGTAGGACGTTCCAGAAGGAGAAGCATCAGTGTCAGAAGCCAGGAGCAAGATGGAAACAAAAGGGAGCCACTTACCTGGACTGCTCCTTGGACGTGGTAAATGGAAAGTGACCATTCGATTTTCCATCATGGAACTGTCCAAAGACAAAAGTACAACAGATTTAGTTTAAATATCGTAATTGGCTTTATTCGCTATTCTAGAATCAGGCAACACTTCATTCCGTAAAACAGACTGAGCGTTCCTCCCAGCAGAGCGGGGGAGATGGGCTTCATGGATAGAAAAGGCTGAAGCAGAAACAGAGAATAAAACACGGATTGGTTGCAAAGTTACTTTTCTTGTAAACATTAAAGCAGACGGGAGGGACTGCCTATCATGCTGGCTAAACCTGGACTGTTGGGGATTTGCCTTTTATCTCTCTGTGTCCTGACTTCTCAGAAGGTCAGATCAACAACTTAGTTTTGGTTTGGAAAGGTGGAACTTTAGCGCGAGGAACTCCATTCCAGTCTAGTCTTGTTACTGAACTCAACCTGAGTCGGCTTGCCCCGTGTGGTAAAACCAAACACACACACTGAGGTTTGCAGCAGGAGAAAGGAGGGTGTTAACTTACAGGACACCAAGCAAGGAGAATGGGGCAGCTTGCACTTCAGACCCAATCTCCTGGATGGTTTACAAGCAAGGGATTTTAAAGGCAGGGGAACATTTCAGGAAAGCAGAGGTTACAGGGAAACCATAAATCAATACAGCGGGTATACCTTGGTTTGGACCAAAAAGGTGGAAGCTCTTGAAGCAAGGGACTTACAGGTCATAGGTGGCTTCAGGATTCTTTGATTGCAATTGGTTAAGGAAGGCAGGCTTTGCCTAAAAACTTGGGGTCAGCAGAAAGGAATGTTAAGGTCTGGCCTATGGGCATAACTCTCTCCAGGCCCGTGAGGAAGAAATTTAGAACAAAGAGCAGCTGTCAGAGTGCAGCCCTCAGCTCCAGGTCACCTGAGGTCTCTGTGATGATGGTCAGTATTTTCCATCTGAAGTGGGTCTGGGTTTCTGAAAAGCCATTCAGGGACATATGCTAAGATGTAATCTTTAGTTTCAATTGGGGACCAAACACCTTGTGGCTCTGACTTGCTTGAGTGGCTATTACTTGAAGCTATGATTCCCTTCTTGCTTGTCAGGTGGCTCATTTACTTCTCAAGGCCAGCTAGGTGCCTGAATTTCCCTTGAAGGAAATCAAGATTTTCCTTTGTTTACACGCTTGGAGGAGGCCCAGCAGGCCTCTAATAGGGGTCCCTGCTCCATCTCAGTCTGTTGGGCCTAGTGCAGAAGCTCAGTCCAAACCAATGGCCTCCTGTAAATGTATTTTACAGAAGTCAGCAGTGTCCACAGCAAGGGAGAGTTTCTTGAGCAACCTGCTGGGAGATGTAAGAGTGAAATAAAGAGGGAATATCAGGTGAAAACATTGAAAAGATGAGTACTGACAATTATTTACAGAGGGCTAACTCTGAAGTGGTTCCAAGAAACTGGGATCTTGAAAAGCAGGTAGTGGAGGGAAAAATGGCTTCCCCTTCCCCTTCTAGATTCTTTGGCTGGGCTAGGAATTAAATTGACATAAGACAGGCTAATAGGAGAAAAACCATTTTAATTACGTCTATATGCACAGGAATCCCACAAAGTATAGACCAGGAGAAGGGCCAGATGAATGAAGCTTAGATAGTGTCCTGAGTTACAGAAAGGAACAGGGGCTTGGGGCTTCTTGGGGATGAGCACAAGTTCTGGGAAGGTGAGGGGAGGCAATGTCTGGTAAATAAAAGGTGTCTTGTTCTGCAAAGAAAAGTCTCTGGGGTGGTGGAAGTTGTCTGGAACCAGCCCTCTTCCTGATACAGATGCTTCACTAATGTAGATTTATTTTATAGTTATAAATTTCTTTTACAAAAGGGCAGCTTTTAAGAGCTACTCCTGTGTCTGCAATTTCTTAGAATAACAGATCAAAATTTGCCTAAGAAGTATATTTTGTGTTCACATATCTGGTTTTGTATTGTCATATTTTGGGGGTGGTGTGTCCTGAGCCCCCACCAGCAAGGACCATGCTATAGGAATATAATTTTTAATTAACTTTTTTAGAGTTGTTTTGAATTCACAGCTGAAGGAACTTAGTATATTCCATCCCAAAATATGCCACTCTGACATAAAGATTATTTTGAGCTGAAGACAACTGAGACCAAGCAGACACAGGACAAACTCTCTGCCCTGCCCCCATCTACCAGAAGAGCAGGATGGCTCTTACCAGTCCAGAGGTGGCACCAGAAAAATCAACATCACAAGCATGCCAAATCAAGCTTATCAGTCAGCTTCCCCCATATATCTACCTTCCTGCAACTTGTTATCCAAAGAAGCTCAAGGTCCCCTTCCTTTGTCTTTCTACTTCTCTACAAATATATTGCTCTCCCATTAGTGTGCTAATAAGCCCAAGTTCTAACCGCCTTTTTGAGTTATTACTTATCACTGAGCTCTCCCATGTGTATTTGCAATGCAGGAATTAATAAATGCGTTGTTTTCTTTTGTTAACCTGGCTTTCATTGGTCTACATTTGTGGGGCCAAGGCAATAAACCTAAGATGGGTGGAGGAAAGATTTTTTCTACACCTATACAGCAAAATTGAGCTGAGCATGCAGAGAGCTCTCATATGCACCCCTCACCCCCCACCTAGCAACACACACGCAGCCTGCCCTACTGTCCATGTCCCGCATCAGTGGGGCACATTTGTTACTACTGCTAAACCCACACCAACATATCATTATCACCCAAAATCTGTGGTTCACATTAGGGTCACTCTTGGTGTTGTATTGTCAGTGAAAAGAGCCAAACTCTGTAAAATATTTGAAGAGATTTATTCTGAGCCAAATATGAGTGACCCAAGGTACAGTCTCAAGAGGCCCTGAGAACATGTGCCCAAAGTGGTTGGGTTGCAGTTTGGTTTTACACATCTTAAGGAGACATGAAACATTAATCAGTACATGTGAGACGTACATTGATTCAGTCCAGAAAGGTGGGACAGCTCGAAGGCGGTTGGTGGGAGGAAGGCTTCCGGGTCATAGGTGGATTCAAAGATTTTCGGATTGGCAGTTGATTGAAACAGTTATTATCTAAAAACCTGCAATCAATAGAAAGGACTATCTGGGTCAAGATAAGGGGATTGTGGAGACCAAGGTTCTTACCATGTAGATGAAGCCTCATGGGGGTTGCCCTTAGAGACAATAGATGGCAAATATTTCCTATTCAGACTCTTAAAAGGTGCTAGACTTTCAGCAAATCTCTAGAGGCTTGGGAGGGCCTGGAAGGGGAAAGAGTTAGCTATGGTAATAGAGATTCTTTACAGATGCAAATTTTCCCTATAAGAGACAGCTTTGCAGAGCCATTTCAAAATATGCAAAAAAAATCCTATTTTGGGGTAAAATATTTTTATTTCCTTCTTTATCTGTCATATGATGTTATACAAGAATCAGGTGGGAAAGTAAGCTGTGTTATATATAAGGTTAAATAAAGTCCAACTGTTGAGATGTTATGGTTTACAGGGTATGACTCCCTAGAGCCCTTAGATGGGAATTTGGGCAAGAGAGAAAAAATGTCAGTTTAGTCCTCAGTACATTCTGTGAGTTTGAACAGATGTCTAATGCTGTATCCACCATTGTCACATCATACAGAGCAGTTTCAGTCCTGCAAATCCCCTGTGCTCTGCCTGTTCATCCCGCTCTCCCCCAACCCCTGCCAACCACTGCTCTTTTTACTGTCTCCATAGTTTTGCCTTTTCCAGAATGTGACAGAGTTGGAATCTTACAGTATGCAGCCTTTTCAGATTCATTTCTTTCAGTTAGTAATATGCATTTAAGGTTCTTTCATGCAGCTCAATAGTGTTTGGCAGAAACTCAAAGGCAGGGAGAGGAATGGGAAATCTGTGTGATGGAAAAGGGGAAGAGGAGTCCTGATGGGGTTGCCAGCTGCTTCAGGAAGCCAGAGGCGGCTGCTAGTAAAGTGGCTTCATTGTCTGGGGTGACACCAAAGGTTCATTGTCTTACAGCCACAGAGATAAAAGGCGCGGACACAAAAAGGGTGAGGTTAAGAGTGGAAATTTAATAGGTGAAAGAAAGAGAATAGCTCTCTGCTACAGAGAGGGGTCCTGGAAAAATAGGTTGCTGATGCACAGTGAAATGCAAAGAGTTTTATAGATGAGCTAGTGGGTAGCAGTGTCTGATCTACATCAGGTGCAAAAAAAGTTAGGACCAGATGTGCCATCTGCATAGGGCACAAACCTCTGGACACCTCCACACCCATCTTTTATTACACAGGTGGGTAGCTACTCCATGTTGCTTATTTCTTTCTTACTATGCATGTGTTAACAAAAAAAAAAAAAATTAGGGAAGGTGAATCCTCTATGGTGGACATGTCTGGCCCCAAGTAGTCCTTTTCATCAGTTTGGCTGCAGGCCTCCCCCCAGGTAAGTTTCCAGCTTCCTTATCTATGTTTGCAGCTCAGTCTTTCAGGCTGCTCTTTGTTAGAAAGAAATGCTTTCTTGGGCTGCTTTTTGTTAGAAGTTCTGCCAAGGACTGGTTTGCCCTATCTGTCTATTTCTTTCTATCTCCTGTATCACTGGAAGAAGGGATCCTACCTGACTGGAAAGAGGGTGTCTATTTGGTTCTCCCTTTTGGTCCTAAGTTGGAAGCAAGGGCTAAAAGGTGGGAAGCCATCAGTGCAGTCTTGACCATTAGGGCTGCTGTATGCAGAGCTGTAGTTTGGCTTTTCCAGCTGGTTACTTCACAGACTGTGGGTCAGAGCATCACCAGGTTCTTGGGTGGATTTTTTAAATCCCACGGACTGAAACCCTTCTTTATTATCTCCAGTCACTTGAACGTCTTTCTTTGACAGAGACAGTTTATTCAGTGTTGTTACTTAAAAAAAAGCTGCTACTACTACTACTACAATTACTATTTATAATAGTGGTAATAATTACAATAATGATGAATCACAGCAAGACCAAATAATTATAATTACTGATTTCATATTTATACATAAATATTTATTAAAATATATAATCTATATATTACATATATTTATACTACATTTATAGTATCTACATAATTATATATTATTTGTGTATTTATGACAATTTATATTAATAAGTAACATAATAAAAAGAAGAATATTACTACTACTACTACTATAAACCTCAGGACTCCCCCATAACCCCAACATAACCGAATATCCCCTTTAACCGTCTGGCCACCCAATCCCACGTTGCCCCTGCCGGTCGAGCTTGCTATATATAAAGGCGGCCGCCAGGTGTCGCCAGACAACCAGCCTGAAAGCCAGCCGGAGGGATCAGGATCGCGGGCAGGCGGGCAGGACGCCAGGCCTTGTCCGGGTCCACCTTGGGTCGCATTTCCACCTCGGGGCTCCCTGGCAGGCATGAGTGGAACCGTGAGATCCCTGGCAGCCAAAAGAAGTCTTGGAAAATTTGGGGGGAAGCGCCCGAGGCCAGGGACAACTGCCGGGCAGGGGACAGACTCCCCAGCGCCTCCTAGGCCAGATCCCCACCCAGCGTGGATTTCAAAATTTACCGGAATCGGCCTGCCTCAGCCTCCCCAGGGGCATTTAGAAATTTCTGCGGACCGAAAACCCCTCCTGCGTCCTCTTCAGAACTATAACTGTTTATATCTAATCACTATTTATGTAGATTTAGTATTTATAAAGTATAATTTATACGTACAATTCTATAAATTTATATTATTTATATTCATATAGTTTTAAAATGTAAATAATTTATTTGTTTATAATACTTGCTTATAACAATTACTATTGCTATATAAACCTCAGGTTCCCCCATCCCCCTGCCCCTACCCTTCCCTCCTCACCTCCCCACAGGCCTCCCCCCACGCCCTTCTCCCCTCCCCTTGCTCCCTTCCCCTCGCCCAAATTCTAGTTGCCCATCTGCTGGGTTGGGCTGCTGGTCGGTCTGATCAACTTTCTGAGGCCACATCAAAACTGCAGAAAAGGCTGATCAACCCAGCCACTCTAACAAAGATCATCCATCGGACATCTGGTCACCCCTCTATCTCGGAGCCAGAGGCTGCAGGCTCTTCCCCGGTGGGGAGAGTGGGGCCCCAAAGTCCAACCACAATATCCTATTATGCAGGCCGCAGCTAAATCCACTGCGCCTTTCCCGTTTTTCTCGTACTGCCCAAGCCAGTCTCCACCTACGAGACAAGACTCCGAAAAAGGTGTAAAGCTCAAATCGTATGATCAAGACCCACGCGTGGCCACGGACGGTCCCATATTACCCTTTGCAGTCCTCCTGGAACAGCCGGGCCGGTCCTCATCTCCGGGGCGGGGCTGAGATAATGGGTGTAATGGAAGGCCTGAGGACAGGGCCCCAAGCCAGTCCGCGTCCGGGCTTGTACCCCAACCCCCATTCACACTCTCGGAAGGCCCATCGATTCCCGCGTGTACTAGTTGACCCGCTCAGGCCACAGTACTCCGAGTTCAAGAGCGCGCCTCCAACGCTGACCTGCAGGTTTAATCTCCGACGAAAGGACGAAGAGTACACCCGGCAAAGCTGGGCTCATCCTGCCAGTGCTGCCAGTCGCCTGAACTCTGCACGGCGCCCTGTGGTCAAATCCCCTTTCTTGCCGGCTTCTCCAGAGCGCCGGAGAGAAAACCTTAACAGTGCAGCCAGGTGGCGCCCGACAGCCGGTGCGAGCACCGCGGATCCGATCGGCATAGCTGGCGGTAGAGGCCTCTCCAAGTCCCGGGACACCTGGTATCTCGTTTCTCAGCCGGGGGCAAGCGGAGGAGCTCTCAGTTGGCACGGCCTAGAATGGCGCGACACCGCAGCCGAAGGGGACTTGAAAATTTTTCCTAACCACCGTTCCGTTCCGAGGGACTGCTACCTGCTAGGACAGACTGCCCACGCAGTCTGTCCGGGATGGGCGATCTTCTCCGCGAACCGGGAACGTTTCCGGAGACCCCCCGGGCCGGCGCCCTGCCTCATCTTCCCAGCGCAGCGGGGTCCCGGGCTCCCCGCGGATTCGAAAGTTTTGAGGCGGGAGAGAACGTGAAGTTGAAACTGTGAAAGGGAGAACGTGGGTGAATCGCTTTTATCCCGTCTTTTCGGAGTGGGGAAGCCTTTCTAAACCACAAAATAAACCCAGAAGCCATCAAGGAAATGATTGATCAGCTTGACAACATAAAGTTTGAACAAAATACACAAGCAAAGTCCAAAGATAACAAATGACTGTGGGAATCACTTCTGCAAATACGCGGGTGATAAGAATATTGATTTCATTCACAGTAGCCAAGATACGGAAGCAGCCTAAGATCTACCAGTGGGTGAACAGATAAAGAAAACGCGATGTATGCACACCATGCGGTACTATCCCGCCTTTGAATAAAAGGAAATCCTGCCATTGGCGACCACATGGATGAACGTGGAGGCCACTGCACTAAGCAAAGTAAGCCAGGCCCAGACACAAATACCACTTGGTCTCTCCTGTATGTGGAATCTGAAAATAGCTGAACTCATAGAAACGGAGAGTAGAACGGTGGCTACCTGAGCCCGGGGGAAGGGCAGGAGGGGGGGAGACGTTGGTCAAACGGTAGAAGGATTCAGTTAGACAAGAGGAATACGTTTTAGTGATTCACATGACACGGTGACTGTAGTTAATGCATTTTATATGTCAAAATTCCTAAAATAGTAGATTTTAAATATTCTCACCACAAAAAATAGATGTGTCGGCGATGGATATCTTAATTAGCTTAAAGTAATTGTTCCACCAATGTATACATATATCAAAACATCACATTGTATCCCATAAATATATACAATTATGACTTGTCAATTAAAATAAACTTTTAAAAATCCTTTTAAAAGATTTCTGCATTATTTACTATGACAACAAAAAAAACTGGGGTGGGGGATAATAGCCATTCATTAAGAGGGGCCAGTTTAAATAAACCCCAGTACATCCACACTATACCCTGTGTGAATTTGTTTTGTTTTGTTTTAGATGAGACAAATGTTGATGATGAAATGTTAAATGAAGAATTTAAAACAAGAATTAAGTTGCCCCTATTTCATCACATTAAATAGCTATAAAGACTATGTGGTATGGACAGAGGGAGATGATCTACAGAACAGAATAGAGACCCAAATAAATGTACCCAGCTGGGTTTTTGACAAGCATGCAAAAGCAACTCGTGGGAGGAAAGGTGGCCTTTCCATCAAATGGGAGTCGGGCAATTGCACATCACAGGCACAGCAAACAAGCAGGCAAACCAAAACCCTTGACCTAGACACTGTCAACTTTAAAATCCTAAGCCCCCACCAAATGAATGGACTCCCTCTTGGCCAAGGGGACCTCAGGAAAATCTTAAAAATTTAGTTCCAGTCAGCCGGGCGCGGTGGCTCAAGCCTGTAATCCCAGCACTTTGGGAGGCCGAGACGGGTGGATCACGAGGTCAGGAGATCGAGACCATCCTGGCTAACACCGTGAAACCCCGTCTCCACTAAAAAATACAAAAAACTAGCCGGGCGAGGTGGCGGGCGCCTGTAGTCCCAGCTACTCGGGAAGCCGAGGCAGGAGAATGGCGTGAACCCGGGAGGCGGAGCTTGCAGTGAGCCGAGATCTGGTCACTGCGCTCCAGCCTGGGCGACAGCGCAAGACTCCGTCTCAAAAAAAAAAAAAAAAAAAAAAAATTTAGTTCTAGTCATAATGTGGTGGGAGGTCGACACGCCTCATTATACCCCCTGCCTTTTGAGGTTTAGACCAGCATTAATGCTAACATAGAGATCAGAAGACTGACAGAACAGACTCTGTGGCAATAAAATACCAAATTATAAATAGGACCTAAGGCCACGCCAGGCAAGGGTTAAGTCACTACGCCTAAAGAATAAAACTGTATTCTAAGGACCACAAGGCTTTTCTTTTTCTCTAGCAGCTAAACCACCACTGGCCTCCAGATAGACAAGATTAAAACAATTTCCAGCTCCACCACCCACTGACTTACTGAACCCCTGCTCTACCAGACATAACCTCCTGATAACACCACCAACCATGGAGTGTCTCTGGCTGGTTTACAGAGGCTGCACACTTGTGTGCCTTCATGCCCTGAAAAGACCTGTTGACATATAGGACCTAACTGTAACACATTTAAATGTTAAGTCTCCACCCCAAAGTGAACATGGGTCATCTACTACATGCATGTCTGTTCAATATGCATGGGTCAGGACCACCTTCATGAATATTCATAACTCCTCCTATAACCCGTTGAATATGTATGTTTAGCCAACCTGCCCAGCATAAAGCTCCTACCCCAACCCCTCCTCCTTCAAAGTGCCTGTTTCTGGTCCCTTGGCTGGGATGGCCATCTTGCAGGCTGTAATCCTTATGAAAAATAAAGTCTCCTCACCTTTCTAAATGGATAAATTGTGGGGGTTTTACCCTCACACCTCATACAAACATTAACTCCAAATGGATCACACATTTCAATGTAAAATGTAAAACTGGCCGGGCGCGGTGGCTCAAGCCTGTAATCCCAGCACTTTGGGAGGCCGAGACGGGCGGATCACAAGGTCAGGAGATCGAGACCATCCTGGCTAACATGGTGAAACCCCGTCTCTACTAAAAATACAAAAAACTAGCCGGGCGAGGTGGCGGGCGCCTGTAGTCCCAGCTACTTGGGAGGCTGAGGCAGGAGAATGGCGTGAACCCGGGAGGCGGAGCTTGCAGTGAGCTGAGATCCGGCCACTGCACTCCAGCCTGGGCGACAGAGCGAGACTCTGTCTCAAAAAAAAAAAAAAAAAAAAGTAAAATGTAAAACTATAAAACTTTAGGGAAAAATAATTCTTAGAGAAAAATGGGATCTAGACTAAAAAAGGAGATTTTTGTACTTGACATCAAAAGTATGATTCATAAAGAGAGA